TCTTCGAGAACAGGCCAAAGAACTTTGGCATTGGTGAGTAACCATAGGTTGAGTTTTGTAAGAACTAGGCTACTACTGTGCAGATGATGTAAAGAATATTTGCTATCTTAAGAACATTGAGGACAACTTTGATCACCAAGATCGCTGATGCACTTGAGCTTTAGAATGAGAAAAGTCCTTAGTTTAATTCCAGATACTGATCAATATTGCATTTTTTTCCCACAGGCCAGGACATCCAGCCCAAGCGCGATTTGACCCGCTTTGTGAAATGGCCTCGTTACATCCGCCTGCAGAGGCAGCGCTCCATCCTCTACAAGCGTCTGAAGGTTCCCCCTGCAATCAACCAGTTCACCCAGGCTCTGGACCGTCAGACCGGTGAGTTGAGAACGGTTTCAGCTAATAGATGGCGGCTTGGTCCTTAACAGTACAATTTGTAGCTTTGCAGATGATGTTAACAATATTTGCTATCTGAACGTCTGTGCTGACATTCCCACCAAGATCACTGATGCAGTTACTCCAAGTTATATCCACTTGTGATGCTGAACCAGCTGTGGGTGTAGCTGCTGTTTTAAATGTTCTCTAATGTTCCTCCTCAGCCACACAGTTGTTCAAGCTGGCCCACAAGTACAGGCCAGAGACCAAGCAGGAGAAGAAGCAGAGGCTGCTGGCCCGCGCTGAGCAGAAGGCTGCTGGGAAGGGAGACACCCCGACCAAGAGGCCCCCTGTCCTCCGTGCTGGTGAGTAACAGAGTAAAGGTGTAGATGAAGACACAATCAATTTTAGTATTATTAGTTGGTTTGGACTTTCCTGTGAGGTCTTCTAAAATGTGGCCTTGATGCAATGATGACACAACTTTCTTCAACTGATTACCTGATGCTTTTGAGCTTTTTAACCCTGAGCATTGGCCAAAGTAAAAAATAATGTAACTGGTGGGACATGAAGGGTGTTTTCTGGTTGGAAAGTTAAATGTTCCTATTAATCTACAGGTGTGAACACTGTCACCTCTCTGGTGGAGAGCAAGAAGGCCCAGCTCGTCATGTGGATCCAATTGAGGTAAGCTTGTTCCTTTATTTATTTTTCTGCAGCGGTGGAACAGATGACAGTGACCACCAGCAATGATTTATGCATATATTGTATGTGGATTTAACTCAGAAAGCCCTGGTAATTATTAGAAGTAAATGTATTTACAGTGTGACTCGTCTTTATTCTTGAATGGCCTTAATGCAGTGATGTATGAATTTCTTCACCTGATACCTGATGCTTTTGAGCTTTTTAACCCTGAGCATTGGCCAAAACAGTTTAAATATGTTGAAGAAAAAGGGAAGGTTGTTTGCAAGGAAGAAAATGATTGTATTTCGACACTATTTTGCAGATGAGAACACGGTCACCTCTGGAGAGCAAGAAGACCCAGCTAGTCATCATTTCTAACCATGTGGATCCAATCGAAGTAAGCTGATAGTGAATCGTTTCTTTGGTACTAAAACAGTTGTGTCTAGAAAGTGGTCCCTAGCAATGATGTATGAATTTCTTCACCTGAATCCTCTATGTGGATAAAGCTTTCGAGCTTTTTAACCCTGAGCAGAGACCACAAACTGCAAGCAAACATTATTTTTACATTTGAAGTTGCTACTTTGTTCTTAAAATACTAAAGTGTTCTCCTGTGCCCCCTGCTTTTTCAGCTATTCTCTGGTCCACAAAACCTGACCATCAGTGAGTGGCCTTGTACAGAAAAACCTGTGAGTATGCTTTTCTTTTTTAACAAATAAATGTGCATGCCTAAATAGATCTGCACTTCAGTCAACAAATTGGCAATTCCATCGACTCCCTATTTATTGACCTTTTTTAAAAAAAAAAATTTAAAAAAAAAATTATTATAGACCAAACAAATTAAATAATTTCTCCGGCTTTATTTCCAGATCCGTGGTCACAGCAGATCCTCTTCTGTGAAACCGGCTCCAGTGTTTGTTTGGGAGGCGCTCTACATGGAGAAGACTTCCCTTAGGATAAAGCTTATGGTTGGGGCTTGCCACAAACATCCTCCTAGATTCTTTATTTTATACATTTCCACATTATGGTTTTTGTCATTTGGATTGTTTTTTTATAATTCTATGTCGAACATTTTGACTTTCATGTGTTTTTTGATGTTAAACTGTTTGCATTAATAAACAATGTATCTAAAGGAAACTTGTCTATCATTTGAATATTACAAATATTTTGGTATCTAAATGCTATTCTACATACATTTTTAGGTGAATGTTGTAGAAATACTCTTCAGATTGAGCTGCAATTAGGAGTTTAAATGTATTGCGCATCAAATTGTCCTTTCAATAACTTTATACTTGAAGGCCCTACCTCACGAAAAGGCATAACACTGCATGAGCATTTTTAAGACATTTAGAATGTGTTGCCACTAAAGATGCTATTTTCAAATGAGGTTTATTGAATATGGGGCCACTAGCATTTCCTAATGTGTAGCAAGCTACCATTTCCTGTGTTTCTCTTATACAGAGGTTGTATTTTGTCAATTTAACACTGAACCCCTTTAAACACTCACAACATGCTGATTTATGGATCTCCTCAAGCAAAACGTATTTTCTCTATACAGAGAGAAATGAATTGTGTTATGTAACACATGTTCCTCTGTTCAAACTTAGTCTTTTCCAGCGGTTTTCCTGCCTTGTGATTTATATATACAGTCTGCTTGTGATCCAAGAAATCTTCACATCCTCAGGTGTCTATAAACATTAGTGCATGTGTGCAGAACCCATCCTTTTCGATTTCCATTCAAACCAGAAGTACTTAATTGATATTATATTACACAAAACTGAACTGCTTTAATCAGCCTGTCAGAGCTGTTTCCTCACTATACTTGTATGTGTAAACTACATGTCTACATCTATTGATTCTTATAGTATATCTAGATTTGTGTTGATGGAAAATGTAGAGATAATATAGCGAAGTGTGTATCTTTCTCTAATAGTTTTACTTTAAAGAAAAAAAAAAAGTCAAAAGACTCAGTGCTTAGAAGACTTAGCTGCATTTTAGCCACTATATTTTATGAGACCTGCGATCAATAAACCATTTAAAAAAAAAAAAAAAAAAGCTTCACAGTATACCGAACATCACTGAAGGACAACAGAAAGGTTGACTTTAGATTGGTCCGGGTGTTTTATTGAAGTCAACAAACAGTGAGAGATCTTGGCAACAGAGTGCTCAGTGGAGCGCTCTGATGATGGCTCTGGTCTGCACCCACTCAGACCCAGGACTTCCAGAGACAAGAGAGGAGTCCTGTCCTGAAACAAGAAGACAATGTGTTTTCTCTTTGCATTATGTAAGAGTTCAGCACATGTCAACTCTTTAAGTGGCAATTGCTTTTGTTGTAATGTTAAAATACTTACAGCTCTCTTGCAGAGGTAAGCCTGGATTTGCTGCAGGAACACTGTCTGTATGAGAAATTCATGAAAGGTGTTCAGAGTAAAATACAATGAGCAACAATCTGAATTATAAAAAAGCTAAATTGAAACTTATAGGAAATGTCTCTGAATGTTTTTATTGATTGTTACCTCTGTCTGTTCTCCTGCAGTTCTGCATTTCCTTTTGAGTCGTCAAGGTAACCCTGCATGTGCTGCACTTTATGTCAGTCTGAAGCTTACACTCACCTTTACTGCACGGGGAACAGCAGGAGCTCAGGTGGTGGAGTGCAGAGAGAAATATACATAATGGTTAGTTAAAATAAAATGGCTGAATATCGATGCATGTATGAATGAGTGTAGCTTACAGGATGCAGATCGTTTATTTAAAACGTTACATTTGCTGTTCTTTTTTTATATCCTACTACTCTACTGGTTTTCTATCCTCAGTGTATCGCAGCAGCTCAGGTGGTGGAGGAAAGAAAGGAAAAAGATATTAAATGACAAGTAAAACATAATATTTCAATTTTGAATCAATGATATCACAGAGAACTAGTTTACACAACAACATTATCTTCTTCATGTTGAGTCAGAAGCTCGTTCTTACCTTGATGTCTACAGAGAATGGCTGCAATCTCAAAGAGAAACTTGAATTAGTGATGATATAAAGGCAAACAAGAGAAGCATATAAAGTGGATTTCTTTTTAGTTTGAGTCAGCCTTTATCTGTGAATTACTGAAAAAGTGATATTATATAAACAATTAGATTTAGCATTCAGTTTTGTAGGACCGTCACATGATAATACTTTCTTCTGTTTTTATAGTATATAGACTATTCCAGGACCCTTTCTCTACAGGACAGAAGCTCATACTTATCTTTGTTGTCTTCGGTGAACAGCATCTCAGTTAGTGGAGTTAGAAAAGAGTGAAGTAAGGAAAAAGATGGTGAGTAACACAAATGATCTCTGAATTATTAAATATTAAAGATATAATATATTGTATATGGTTACTATACCTTTTTTGGCCAAATTAAAAAAGGGACAGGGAAGGATTGTTTGAGGTAATTCCCCATAGTCAGTGTATTACTTTCAGTAGATGGGGGTCGGCACGTCCCGAGTTCGTAAAAGGAGGCAGAGTTAGTGCATGGAAGTAAAGTCATGTACTGCCGTGTATAGGGGCTGCTTGGTGAATCCAAACTAGCGAGTTTAAGTCACACAATTACATAAACTAACTAACAGACTGTGGCAACGGTAGACCAGCAGCTCCTGTGTTCTGTGAGGTAAAAATGACTGTTTTGTGAATGAAGTGTGGTGGCTTTTAAGAAAGAATAGATAGTTGCTTCACTCTCCCGTTGGCAAGGGAAGGTATACTGGGTTCAATATTTCTTTCAAGTGGCTAAAAAATATTTTGCTCCATATAAATACTTTGCTTCGCTGTGGTGCTGTATGGCCTTTTTGTTTCTTCAAACAGGGTTTGTTGATCACAATCTACTGTAGGCAAGACCCTGACTGTCCGTACATCCCCACTTCAAACTATCCCTTTAATAATTTTGAGCTGTGGAGAAAAAACATTCAGGAGGCTTCCTTATGAGATGCCTATTTTTTAGCAGGCTTAAATTAAATCTTATTTTTGGAGGATTTTTTTATTCAATAAAGTCTGCTCATGCTTGATGTTATATATTTTGAAGGTGTCCAGTGCATTGCCTGTCAATTGGTGAGTAAAGGTGCTATGAGAGTAAAGTGCCATGTGTTCTCTTTGATTTTGTGGCTTTTCCTGCTTCTTCTTATGTCAGTGCAGTGGTTTCCAGTGATGTTTTTCGTTTGACCTTGAGAACAGCAGACTGCAGAGTCTTCCAGGACACACAGTGCTGTCAGCTTCACTGTGAGGGCATGACATGAGGGTTATTCAAGCAAACCCACGATCAAGGTGAAGGCTCCAAGGTCCAACGTAGATCCACTGTGCAAAGAAATTGGTAGATGGCACACCAAAAATCCCCAGTCCAGGACGTTTCCTGGGTGTTTGCCAGCACCGCAAGATGCAGAGGCTACCAGGGGCTTTGCTTGCCCAGCCAGACGCAAAGGCCAGCCCCGACATTAAGAAAAAGGTCAATCAAATCAGTGCAAGACGCTACCTGGACCCGCCCTGCCAGACGCAAAGGCTACCTGGAGCAGTGTCTGCCCACAGAATCAAAGAAAGAAAGATTGAGCTACAAATAATGAGATGGTACACCAAAGAAAATCCCATGGCGAGACGCGTCCTGGGTTGTTGGCAGCCCTGCAAGACGCAAAGGCCAGCCCCACTATTTAGAAAAGTGTCAATCAAGTTGGAGCAAGATGCTAACTGGATCGGCTACGCAAGACGCTAAGGCTACCAGCAGAATAATCTGGTCCTGCGGTGAAGAGGAAGAGATGGAGGGCAGGTATTGCTCTGATGTTACAAGTAGGATCAACCCAACCATGGCAGACTCAATCCTCGTCGCTGTCCTCTGACCACCGCGGCCTCTTCGCAGCAGACTCCTCCTCCTCACTGTCTTCCCTGCATCTTTTTGTGGAGCAGCCGGAGCGAGAACTTGAGGGAGATCCAGGAACGAGAGCGTCTTCTGGCTCCTCGGAGGAATCTTCAAGGAAGAGTGGCCCGATTTCCTCAACATCAAGAACAGGGATGTCGAGTCCGACAACGTCGATCTCTTCCTCTTCATCTTCATCCTCAGACGACTGCTCGTCCAATTACCTGTGAAGATACTCATCAAGACCATCGTTATCAACATCATCTAAAGGACGTGCATCATGGGGAGGGTCAGCGTAAAGGGCAGTATGAGGGTAGGCAGGAGCAGCAGCAGCTTGAGGGTAAGCATAACGATCAGCGTATGGAGAAGGAGCAGCGTGGGGGTAAGCATAACGATCAGCGTATGGAGAAGGAGCAGCGTGGGGGTAAGCATAACGATCAGCGTATGGAGAAGGAGCAGCGTGGGGGTATGCATAATGATCAGCGTAAGGAGAAGGAGCAGCGTGGGGGTATGCATAAGGATTAGAACAAGGAGCATAGTAAGGGGAGGGAACAGCATAAGGAACAGAATAGGGAACAACATAAGGAACAGAATAAGGAACATAATAGGGAACAGCATAGG